CACTATAACTGAGCAAGGCTTGGCGAGTGAACCCGGGGCTTAGGGATTGTCCTAGGTACAGTGTTTTTTTATTTATTTACAATACTTTTTTGTAAATTATGGGATGTGTAAGCCGAAAAGTAATATGTCCAAGCTCCTGGCTCACCCGGGATGTTTCCTAAGCCTCTGGTCCCAGCCTTTTACTGACTCATCACGCCAACATCAGCATGTCACCTGTTCTAGAGTCATATCCTGATCCTTTCAAGAAATGCTGCGATCAACACAGTGCATAGGTTTGTGACAAAGCTTTTATCTCTCAGTTCATTATGTCATTCTCAACTTAAAAGTGAAAGAGTTGGGAAAAACTATTGGCTAAGGGTGTGTAATTATTGGCTAAGGGTGAGGAGAGACATTGTCATAGAAAATTGTGTGTGTGTGTGTGAGTGTGTGTGTGTTTTGTTTTACTTTAAAATTTTATTTTTCACCTTTTTGAAAAATCAAAACCCTTCTTTAATGGATTTTGTTATTTCTAGCAAGTCTTGGAAAACTGGAAAAGACACTCAGCCAGCGTTTGAAAGGGGCAATATCTTCAGTGCTAAAAGATGTCTGTCCAGCCGAAAGCTTTTTTCGTGTCCGTATCTTGCATCCTCGGGGACTTTGTTTTGTGATTGGTCATTAGAAGGTTAACATGTGCTTAATCTGCAAGTCTGCAAGCATGTGCTTAAACCTGAACCATATGAAATGGGTATCTGTAGGAACAGAATAGAGGTGCATAAAAAGATTTGAAAGAAAGCTATTAATTATAAGTTAATATGTAATATAAAAGAAGGGATCGATAAATAAGAATATTTGTATAGACACTTAGGGAGAATTTATTGATTTTGTACTGATAAAGTGGAAGGGAGATACTCCTTCACATGAGTTAATGCAATTTTGGAAGGGGAATGAGAGACTTCTGCTGGGTTGAAAAGATAAAGTAATTAAGAAAATATATAATTATTTGTTAGAAATTAAAATGCAAGATGAGATAGTCCAAGAATGTATGATTAGGTGGGCACAAAATATAGGACATAATATTGATATTGATCAATGGTTGCAAATATGGCAAAATAATATAAAGCTCACAAAATCAGTCAATTTCAAGGAGAATATATATATAAGATGTTTTACAGGTGACACATGACTCTGGAAAAATTATCAAAGATTTATACAGATGTGTCAAATGTTTGTTGGAAGTGTGAAGCACATGAGCGAAGTTTTTACCATATGTGGTGGACTTGCAAAGTAGCGAAATGATTTTGGATATGTTTACATACTTCGTTACAAAAAATATTGCTTTATAAGGTTCCACTAACCCCAGAACTGTTTCTATTGAGTATTATACCACACAATATAAGCAAGACAAAAAACTACCTAGTTATATATATAGTCACCGCAGCCAGAATTCTTTATGCCAAGAATTGGAAGAAATCGGTGATACCGAAACAAGAGGAACTTATTGAGAAGATACGGGAAGCGGCAGAAATGGATATCTTATCAGAAGTGTTGAAAGACTGCCCAGTGCAAAAGGCAACTGAACAATGGGATTTGTTATATAAATGGCTTGAGTCACCAGATAGTATTTGAATAACATAGATTAAAACTAGGATGTAAATGTAAGTTAAAACCTGGAGGGCAATCAGATAGAAGAAAAGCGGAAAGTCGGGTTGATATTGCAACATGAATAGATTGGATGTCAGTATGTTTTGTGTTCACCTCCCCCTCTTTTTTTCTTCCTGCATATCCCCCTTTACCTTCTGTACCCCTTACCTTATCCCAAGTGTTAATTTAAAAAAAAAGGAAGGGGACTGAGAGAAAAGTTAATTATATCTCCAGAGGTCCTGACTCGTTTTCCATGATTTTTTTTGTCGTTGTTTTGTGTTATTAGGGGTTTTTTAGTATGTTTTTACTTTCTATTTTATATAATTTTTAAAAAAAAATTAAAAAGTGCGAGGAAGTCCATGCTGAGCCCAACTGTTTTATTTTTTTCCAATTATGCCAATCAGGGAGGTGTGAGGTCTTGGAGGTCCGGCAAAACCCAATAGGTGGGATTTCATTCCTACAGCAGCGTTGTCAAAGTGAGTCAAAGCTGCAATTAACCTCATCCTGATTACAGCTCTGCTAATTGGTAATGGTGCCCTGGGTTATACCAGTTATTATGTAATAATTATATTCCCCTAATGTGATATGCACAGTACAATCTCTATGTCAAAACTAAACTTTCTGCCATAGCCGTCTAGGTACCCCAGAAACAGATAAGGTTGAGAGACCCGAGCTATTTACAAATAAGTAGAAACACTTCAGCTTTTTCAAAGCCTTCGAGAACATACTGCCCCAAATATTTTACTGCCCAAAACAGAATATAAGATCTCCTCCTGAACATCCTATATACGAACGTTGACTAAGTGGTATACATCATTTTATCAGGTTAAGCCTTTGCATGTTGAATGTTTGATTTTGTTATTAGCTCGTGTTTATTTGTATTTGAAATAGTTTGAAGTCTTCTTTGAAGTAAGGAAGAACTTCCTACTTACTGGCAGCTATATTCTCCCCAACAGGTGGCAGTAAATCACACAAATAAGACATTGGAGGTGAGATATATGTACAGTGGTACCTCGCTAGACAGTTACCCCGCATGACAGTTTTTTCGCTAGACACTGACTTTTTGCGATCGCTATAGCGATTCGCAAAACTGTGATACCTATGGGGGAATTTCGCTGGACAATGTTTGGTCCCTGCTTCGCAAACCGATTTTCGCTAGACAACGATTTTGACGGCTCCCTCCGTGCTCGCAAAACGGTTGTTTTGGGGACCTAAGCTTCGCAAGACAGCTATTTAAACAGCTGATTGGCGGTTCGCAAAATGGCTTTCCTATGGCCGATCTTCGCTAGACAACGATGATTCTTCCCCATTGGAACGCATTAAACAGGTTTCAATGCATTCCAATGGGGAAACGCTTTTCGCTAGACGATGATTTTGCTAAACAGCGATTTCAGTGGAACGGATTATCATTGTCTATCGAGGCACCAGTGTATATATTAAATAGAGGCTAGCTTATCACTGTTCTCCTGTACACATGAGAATGCACACGGGGACATGCACATTCACAAATATAACACACATTGCTCTGTGACATGTTTGAAGTCTACATGAAGCCCTCATTTTTTAAAAATCCTCCCCAAATATTATTACAGTAGTTTTATTATTATACTGTACAGATGTGACAAGCAAATTAAAACCAAGCATTTGGTTTTAGGCATAAATAACACCTATAAATCAGAACCCATAAGTTCTCTTTCCATTTCACTGGCATCGTTTTCGTAGGGAAACTGAACCTTCAAAACTTCTTCAAGGAATCTGAAGTCCGTGTGTTTTCTGTCCCACTGGCTGGATTCTTTGTGGTGCTTTCTGTGAGATGCGGGACACGGCTGGCGAGCCCTCTCACCCTCACCTGTTTTGCCAGGGCCCTTGTTCCAGGGCTGACGGTGCAGTAAACTTGTCCAGGTTTACCTTTTATTCCTAAGCATCCCAATGGACTGTGATCATTTCCTGCATCCTCTGCTCCTCTCCCCACTCCTCCACCGTGGCCAGGCATCCCTGGCTGTACCTCATCCGTAGGACTTAGCAGTTTTCTCATAGCCACACTCAATAAAATAAAATAATACCACTTTACAAGTCATGGCACAAGGGTATTTCCTAATTCCTCCATAATCTGTTTGAGGAGGACAGAAATCTCTGAGCTTCTGAACAGAGAGACTCACCTTCTTCTGTAATTTATGTCCTTCCCTTTAGAGCTTACATGGGTGAGGAACTCCACAGGGGCTTACCGGAGCTCCTTGAAAAAAACAGACCAAACATGGAAAGGAAGGAGAAGCTAAATGTTACTTTCCACCCTATCAGGAAACCTACCAGTTCCTTTTTTCCTCACCAACTTCTGCCTTCCCATCACAATGGCAGAAGTCGAGGCTCAGCAGTAAAGGCATGCGGGGATGCCCAGCAGAATCTAGATTTTTAAAAAAATAGGCAATCCATGAAAGATTCGGGCGTAAGACTGCTGATAGGTTGCCAGCACAAAGAAGTGGGTGGCGTGGTAGTGTCGCCGTTACTTCTTTATTGTCTCTTGTCAAACAGATACAGCAGGTTTTTGAACCACTGCTTGCGAAACCTGTTTGGTCAGATGTAATAATAATGCAAGGGGGGCATAGACAGTTGGTTTTTCTACCCATAAGGTAGCCTCAGCAAAGACACTGGCTGAGATCCCATAGTGCAACTTACACTAAAGTAGGCCTATTGGTTCACTTGCGATTTAGCAAACCAACTCCTCTGTATGTTCCATTCATTCAAATGGGTCCACTCTAATAGTATGCTAAGCCACAATATTTTAACCATTATTTACTTACTGAATGGGCAGAATCCTATCACTCATGCCCACCAGCATTATTTCCAGCAGCGTAAAGCTCAGCAGCAAAACGCTGCTGGTAAAGATGTTGGCTGTGGTATTTTCTGTCATGCGCTGGTCGCCATGCCTGGGCACAGATCAAGAAGGCCAGTGCAGGCAATGACTTCCTAAAAGGTTCAAGGGTTCAAATGAAATAAGCCTGCATGTCACAGAACTCAGTCCTTTCATACCGTATGAGCTCTTAAAAACATTGTGTGTTTCTAAGCCTACCTATTGTTGTTGCTGTTGTTGTTTAGTCGTTAAGTTGTGTCCGACTCTTCGTGACTCCCATGGACCAGAGCACGCCAGGCCCTCCTGTCTTCCACTGCCTCCCGGAGTTGGGTCAGATTCATGTTGGTAGCTTCCATCCATCTCGTCCTCTGCCGTCCCCTTCTCCTCTTGCCTTCACACTTTCCCAGCATCAAGGTCTTCTCCAGGGAGTCTTCTCTTCTCATGAGATGGCCAAAGTATTGGAGCCTCAGCTTCAGGATCTGTCCTTCCAGTGAGCACTCAGGGTTGATTTCCTTCAGAACGGATAGGTTTGTTCTCCTTGCAGTCTAGGGGACTCTCAAGAGTGTCCTCCAGCACCACGATTCAAGCCTACATATACTGTACTAATGGTTAAATGGAGATTTTTTCCAGCCCCTTCAAGGTGCCAGGAATCCTTTGGCTGACTCTTTTTGCCTGTTGTCTGCTCTCTTGTCAAGGCTGCGGTCTTCTTTCCATTTCAAACATTGCTTGGAAAAAGCCAGACACGATCATGAACAGGACTCCTAGAAACCGTCAGCGCAGGCTGGTCCTAACAGCATATGGAGGATGGTATTTCCCCCATGCGCTTCTTCCACTGTATCTCCATCTTCTGCTCTCACCCTTTGCCACAGTGATTCAGCTCACATTGGCTTCTGTGGTTCTCTTTCCTATGCCACAACTCTTGCATGTTCTTCGCTTCCGATCTGTTCTTCCCACAGATGTTCACTTCTCCTGCAAGCCGCTTTACTGCTGCGACGGTCTCGGCTCCAGGAGAGGAAACCGCACCAACTTCCACAGGTAGGTCCTTGGGAAGATCTTCCTTACAGATGCGAGCATCACCTGGATGGACCTGCAAATCAGAGTTGGAAGCAAACAGTCAAAAGGTCGATTTGTCAGTTTCTTACCCAGAAACAACCTGAATGCAGAAAATAGAAATTAGAAGCACATGGAGATGATTGTGTCTGATAAATGCTCAGAGAGGGCTAAGAAGTTACAGCCAAGGTATCACCTACAGGTAACAAACTGCCTTCTAGGTTGCCTAGAGATGATCCATTTTTCTATGCAAGAAACATGCTGTGATTGCTTATTTATTTAATTATATTATTTATTGGTTTAATTTCTGTAGCACCCACCTGACCGATGGTCGTTCTGGCAGTTCACAGAAATCACAGTGACATAAAAGAAAGCATAACATAATCAATGCAGTAAAATTAAATGGGAGTGTAAATGGATTCAGAAATTTTGGAAACTGATTTTTAAGGGAATATGTGATATATTTGGAAAAGATATCGAATTCAATTCTAAAATTGCTTTGCTCTCAATTCTTGATAAGATAGAACTTGGTTATTGCTCAAAGGAATTGATTTCCAATTTTATGACAAGTGCTAGAATATTAATAGCTAGATTCTGGAAAGATAAAAATGATATTAAATTAGAAGATTGGTATAATGAAGTATGGGACATTGCATTAAATGATAACTTGATTACTGAACTTAAGTTGAAAAGAAGGGAAATAAGTTCAAATATTTTTATGCTATTTGGGGTAGATTTGTTGAATTTGGATTAGTGAGAAGAAAGGGGAAAGTCTCTAACCAACAATTAATACAATTTTGGAAAGGAGGTTCGTATTAAAAGTGTTCTAAAGGGTCCCGTGGGTATGGGGGAGCACTGTGGTTTAAATTGTATTAGTAAGTATTTTGTATTTTTGTATTTGTTTTGTTTTGGAAATTTAAAAAATAAAAAAGTAAAAAAAAAGAAATTTAAAAAATAAAAAGTAAAAAAATTAAGAACTTTGTTATAGACAGTGTGGTGTAGTTGACAATGTTTGATTAAGCCTCGGGAGACCTGAGTTCAAATTCTCTCTTGGCCATGAAACTCGCTGGGTGGCCTCAGCCCAGTCACAATTCTCCCACCCTGACCTACCTCACAGGTTTCTTATAAAGATAAATCAGAAATCAGGAGATCTGTGTTTTGGAAATAATCCTTTTTTTTTTTACTCCCCAGAATCCCCATTGGGTTATTTGCAGGGAAGGGGAAGCAAATTGTGGGATTCGCTGTCACGTTGAATTTACGTTGCACCAAGGACTCGATTCGGATTCAACTCGGAGGGGGGGTGTCAATGTCTCGGACCCAACTCATGATTTGGAACCCACCACTCTCCCCCTTTTTCTTTTGGGGGAAAATAGCTTTTTTTAAATAGGGGCTCTGGGGGGCTTGGGACTCCAAACTTGTTGGTTGGTTGATTTTTTAAAATTTATTTGCTCCTTTTAAGTTAATCTATGGACATGTTGTAAACGGTATAGCTTTGCTCGTGGAAGACCACAGCAGAGAGTTCAAAGGGAGTGGGGGGGCTAATTTCAAGGTGTTTTCTGTCTAAAGAGGAACTAGCTTCTCTCTGGCTTCCTGTTTTCATAAGCACACTGGATTAGAACATTCTTCGAAGCCCTTTGGGGAAACTCGACAAAGGAAGCTAAATAGCTTTGGGGGTTCCTGGGGGCAGATTGAACAAAACTGGTAATATTCCAGACCTTGGTTCGGCATTCACAACTACGTGATAGTCCACCTCCATGGCAGTCTCTTGCTGCCCCTTCATTTGCACCTGACCACTTATGTTCCTCCTGTCTTTTTCCCCTTAAAGTCTGTTACCAAATTTTAGAGGACCCATCTATACAAGAAATAACGAATGTTTACTTCATGATTCCATGGGAGTCCTGTTTATAATTTTTGCATCAGTGGAATTCCTAAGCTGTGATAAAGTCATGGCACTTCGTATTCGTATTTTCGGCTCTTTGGATGTGTTCTGAAGGTTGTTCTTCCTGACGTTTCGCCAGTCTCTGTGGCCGGCCTCTTCAGAGGAACAGGAGTAGGAACTCTGCCCATGCTCTGTGAGGTGGGTCAGGTTGTGAGAATTGTGGCTGGGCTGAGGCCACCCAGCGAGTTTCATGGCCAAGAGAGAATTTGAACTCAGGTCTCCCAAGGCTTAATCAAACACTGTCAACTACACCACACTGTCTATTACAAAGTTCTTTACCCTTAATTCATCTTTTGCCAAAGTCTATAAGGGTTGTGTTATACAGTAGTGGTTCTTCCCACAAGGATCCAGACAATCTGATTTTCAGATTCAGTTTAATTTAGGGCCAATATGTGGTTTGTGGTTGCTTTTGTTCACTATTTGTAGTACTGTATTTTTAAAATTCTTTTTTAGTATTTGTATACTCGCCTTTTTTAGCTTTAAATACTTTCTTTTAATGATATAAGCAGCCTTGGGTCCTTTTGAAGAAGACCAGTGGGGTGAAAATATTTTAAATTAATAAATAAGGAGAAGATATCGAAAGAGAGCTGCCTTGATATATAGCACCTGAGCTAAATAGGGGTTCCTGGGGACAGATTGAACAAAATTGATAATATTTTTAATTAATACATAAGGAGAAGATATTGAAGGAGAGCTGCCTTGATATATAGCACCTGAGATATTTGGTTTAGAGAGTATTCCAGGGGACTTATTTTCTGCAGGGGGCTCCTAGCTGGGGATCTTGTTCATGCGTAGACCTCATTGGTGTCTGATTTTTGGTTTGCATGTTTTGGGGGGTGGCTGGGAGAAAGCATCTAATTTGGGCTGAGTTTGTATCATCATCCTTGTTCTTTTGGTTGCTGGACTTAAAAATTTAATATCTCTTCAAATATTACTTTCCAGTGGCCATGTAGAAAACTGCCTCATGGACCCAAAACAGGACAACAGACAACGACAACCCCCACAACGAGTCCTAAAGGAAATGACCCCTTTTTAAAGAAAATGTTTCCTTTCTAAGTTCACAAGGATGGAGCGGTGCCCGATGAATGTCACAACGGATATATTTCGATGCAACTCCAGCCGGACGCCCATGGAGTGTTACTTGGTCCTCCGTGGTCCTGCTCAGACTGTCATCGCTGTGCTGTGTTGCGCCGTTGGGAGCCTTTGCGTTTTGGAGAACTCCTTGGTGCTGTACCTCATATTTTCTTCCCCAAAGATCCGGCAGAAACCTTCTTACCTCTTTCTAAGCAGCCTGGCCTTGGCAGATACATTGGCCAGTGTTATATTTACTTGTAGCTTTGTTCATTTCCACGTGTTTGCTGGGACCGACTCCTCCAAGGAGGCCTTCTTGTTGAAGCTCGGAGGAGTCAACGTGGCCTTCACAGCTTCCCTTGGCAGTCTCCTGTTGATGGCCTTTGACCGGTACATCTGTATCTGTAAGCCGTCGTCCTACAAGGCCCTCGTGACGAAGAGAAGAGCCGTGGCAGCTTTGGTGGGTCTATGGGTGGTCATCGTGGCCCTCGCTTCCTTCCCTCTTCTGGGATGGAACTGCTGCAGCCTCGACTCAGCCTGCTCTGAGCTGTTTCCTTTCATTGAAAACACGTATTTGTCCAGCTGGATCGCCTTGGTGGCAGTTCTGGTGGCGGCTATCGTATATGCCTACACCTATGTCCTGTGGAAGGCTCGCCAACATGTCTTGTACATGGAGAAGCACCAGGTGCAAAGCGGCCAGCAGAACACCAAGATGAGATTAGATATCATGCTGGCCAAGACGCTCGTGGTCGTGGTGGTCGTTCTGGTGGCTTGCTGGTCGCCAGCCTTGGTTCTCATGACGTACAGCACCTTTGCGCCGCTGGGCGAGTTCATCAAGAAAGTGTTTGCCTTCTGCAGCACCTTCTGTCTGGTCAACTCAATGGTGAATCCTGCTATTTATGCCCTACGGAGCAAAGAATTAAATGCTTCTTTGAGAAGAGTCTTCTCCTGTTGCAGAAAGAAGTCGGGCATCTCTAAGAGTTGCCTAGAAGTAGAAAGCACTCAGAAGACTTTCCCCGTCGAAAACGTTTGCGACGAATTAATTGGCAGCGGACCGGTTCCATGCTCTAAAACATGTCCACTTGCATAACTAGGAATGAAGGCTTTCTCTTCCCATTTCAAGAGGCTCTAGAACTTTGCTAGAGGATCAGCTTTTCCATTGGGTCACTGATTTCCAAGTTGGAAGGTCGCCTACCAACTGTATTCTCCTGATTCTCTTGTATGGAGAATTAGTGCTGGGAAATTGCCCCAGAGGGAGACCCCAGGTGCGATACAAGGAGATCTGCAAGCGGGATCTGAAGGCCTTAGGAATGAACCTCAACAGATGGGAAACCCTGACATCTGAGCGTTCAGCCTGGAGGCAGGCGTTGCTTCACGGCCTCTCCCAATTTGAAGAGACCCTTGTCCAGCAGGCCGAGGCAAAGAGGCAGTCCCGAAACTAGCAAAATCAGGGAGCTGGACAGGGGACAGATTGTATTTGTCTTCAGTGTGGAAGGGACGGTTACTCTCGAATTGCCCTTCTCAGCCACACTAGACACCGTTCCAAGACCTCTATTCAGAGCACATTCCCATCATCTCTCGAGACTGAAGGAGGCCTAACTAAGGTCCCTTGAAGCCGCTCTCTTGAGTCTGCCACCAGGTTTTGCCAGCCATATGTGTCAGAGACCAGGTGCCAGAGAGAGTGTCTGCTTTGGGCTGAGGATTTAGAACAGATTTACAATGTCTACGACTCATTTCCTTTTACAACTGTGTTTACGGTCTTGGTGTAAGAATAGATACAACTGCCAAACGTCACTCTTTTAGGCAACATTCTTCACAATGCAGAATCTCTTTCCTGTTTTGTATTTGGTGGCTGGTGAGGGAGGCGAACGCCAATTGTTACTGCATTTCACTGAAAGGCTTCACAACGTAGTCGACAAGTTAACAAAAAATATCCACAGTAAAATAAAAGCAGAGCAGTTATGGACTACAGTTCCCATAATCCCCTGGGCCAGATTAAAATAAAAGAATGTTGCAGTCTGTTCTGAGTCACTTAAGAACCATAACAAACTCTCTATAGATCAGATATATTAGTCACACTGTAACATTAACAAATAAGACCACTGAAAAAAATGGAATAAAGTATGTACATCCTTTTATTGGTGTCTGCAGAAAACAAAGCTTCCATATAAGTGTGGAATATTATTTTCCAGCAATTTACCGAAATGCCAATAAAAGGCAAGCTGGTGGCCTTGAGGTGCCATCGTTTGGAAAATGGGACTTTTCTCATCCCTGTTTGCAGATTGGGATTCCAGAACGTGACATGGGTAACCCCACTGCTCAAATTAAGCCACGGGGCTAGCCTCCACGTTTCCCTCCTTCAATCTCCTGATCAATGCAGACGTGCTTCGTTGGTGGTACAGTAAATGGTCCAGAAAAAAGTGAGCAATGGGTAAAAGGTTCCCTGTACAAAACTGCAGCCCTAGAGCTGATGGGCTCTGTAGTCCTAAGACATTCCAGTTGCTTTACAGGCAACGAAAGGGGGCTAAGCCTGGGGGGGGGGCTTTGAACCACCTGTTACTCCAAATGACGTCATAAATCTTCAGCAGCAAGGCTCCTGAGGAAGAACGTGGCCCGACCTTTTGAATCTATCATCCTTCCCTTTCCTTCTTTCTGATAGATGTGGGCAGTGAGAGCCTGCTTGGGGTTCTGTGCATCTCACTGCACTGTATCATACCTAATCATGTCATAGAGGTTGAGAAGCAAATTTCCTGCGGTGGACCATGGTCTGGTCCATCATCCTTACTTACTTACTTACTTACTTACTTACTTACTTACTTACTTACTTACATCTCACTGCACTGTATCATACCTAATCATGTCATAGAGGTTGAGAAGCATGTTTCCTGTGGTGGATAATAGTCTGGTCCATCATCTTTACTTACTTACTTACTTGCTTGCTTGCTTGCTTGCTTGCTTACTTACTTACTTACTTACTTATTCCATTTATACCCTGCCTATCTGGTCATTGCGACCACTCTAGGCGGCTTACGACACAAAATACAAGAACAATATACGAAAGGGATTTTTACACAATTCTACAAGAATTCTACAAGATGGAGAGCAAACAAAATAAATCATAACAGAGAAAGGGAGGAAGTCAGGGATTAACTGGGGGGGGAAGGCCCTCTCTCTCCCTCCCTCCCTCCCTCCCTTTCCCAAGGGCCTTATGGAGGAAGGGAGCCATCTGGAAATATCTCCATGCTTTCCCCTCAGTTCCCATCTGCCACGACTTCCTTGACAAAGGCAAGGAGACCCAAGCTTAAAACCGGACGGCTTACAGAGATGCTCTCCTACTGGGACCGCCCCGGCGGGCTGGTCGACAGCCTGGCCTTTGGCTGACATCCAAACACCAGGTTCCGTTATCTTTAGTCTGAAAACAACTGGAGGACAACAAAATCAACAGGATTCAGTCAAGGGACTTTTATGGGGGGCCAACTAGTTGCCAACAAAGGAGTCTGCATGCTTTCAACTCCCAAAGTACTGTATTCTTTCTCGGACTGTGACCGCTGAGACCTGGTGTGTGTGCCAGCAGGCCGGCGCCAGGTCCGGGGAAGGGGGACGGGGAAAGGGGGACGGGGAAAGGGGGGACCCGGACGGGAAGGAGGGGAGAGGGCAAGGGGGGGCGGCCACACACCCCACCCCCACGCCCCCTCCTCTGTAGGTCTCTCGGGGACCCAGAGGGTTCACACGTGCACACGCGGACACGGGTGGGACTGCGCGCAGAGGGCTCCGTAACAGGCCTGAAGGGGGCTCCGAGCACCTGCCACACCAGCTGCAGTTGTGTGTAGGTGGTAGCAGTAGTAGTGGTGGTGGTCATCATCATCATCATCCTCATCATCTATCATCATCATCATCATAAACAACCAAGAGGTGATGGTGATGATAATCTTAGAACTTTAATTGTTGGAAGCCGCCCAGAGACCTGCATCTCTAGGCATCCTCCACCCTCATCTTGGGGAAGTTACTTTTTTGGGAGTGCAAGACCAAGACTCTCCCAGCCATCATGGCCACTAGCTGGGGATGTGGGCAGCATGTCAGTTAAATAAATGAATAAATAAACTGTAGAGCTGGAAAGACCCTCTGGGTCATGGAGTCTAGTCCTTGGCAAAGGGGGGTGGGGATCGAACTCTCAACCTAAACCAGAGCTATCTGATATGTACATTATATACATTGTGTTTCTCTCTGTGTGTATTGAGGACATATATGAGCATATATAGACTTACAAGAGCAACAAGCCAACGTATTTCAGCAAAACATGTTGGCTCCTGCCTTCTTCCCTTGTAAAAGACAACTTGTATGTGTGTATGTGTGTGTGTGTGTGTGTGTGTGTGTGTGTGTGGGTGGGTGGGTGGAGAGAGAGAGAAAGAGAGAGAGGAAGAGAGATGTAGATGAACGTAATACTAAACAGCACTTAAGATAATAATAATATAAACAAATATTTAAGCAAAATGTTTCGACTTCCGCTTTCTTCAGTAGTTCTGGTCAAAGTCTGCAGCTGAGGAAAGCGGAAGCCACAAAGTTTCATTTGAATATTTGTTTATAAATCATTCTTAGAAGTGTATATTATTGTTATAGATGGGTGACAAAAAATATCATTTTATCCACACCAGCTATCTGTGTATATTATGTAGCTTTGTTATTTAATAGCAGCAGAAACAGCGTAATACTGTTGAGCGAACATCCTTAGCAGAGACAGGAAGATTAGAACGACTGTCGATAAACTCAATATCTGTCTCAGAACCTGCTGGCCATTAACTATTTACCTTTTTAAAATTAGTTTTATCATCTCCCTTATTACATGACACCTGTTATTACTGCATGGCTTTATTAAAACCAAAAAGATGGGGTGGGGAATTTAACCAGAGCACAGGTTGCTGTCCTCTGAAAATGCCCATGGCCACAGAGACTGGCGAAACGTCAGGAAGAACAACCTTCAGAACACGGCCAAAGAGCCCGAAAAACCCACAACAACCGGACTTAACAGTCCTCAAAATATTCTGTGTGTCAGTTCCCTCAGGTTTGCCCATTTTTGACCTTTTATCTGGCTTTTCCCAGCTCAGATTCCTTTGCTTGTTTTTCCAGATTCCTCAGCTCGGTGGAATTATTGTCCTCTTTTAAAATCTGGGTTCGGGAAGTGAGCCGTTGCCACATCTCATCCGAGCATGAAGCGCAGTCTGTGTGTGACCAGCCCTAACGTTAGCCGGAGTTGGACCAATTTATTTATTTCTTTAAAACTCTTTTTACTTTGCCTTCTCCTTAAAGAGGATACATGACGGCTTAGATCATATAAAAGACAAAACAGTAAAAAACAATATGTCTTTAAAAATATCAAGACCAATGGCGCCACTAAATCAACACCAAAACCAGATTCAACAGTGTCTCAGGCGACAGCTTCCAGACGTTCTTCCTGAGCCTCTTCGTTCTTGGAGGACAGACACCGTTGTGTATGTTCTGGGAAGCCTGATCTGATCCCTTAGTTGCACCCAAGGACCTGATCCTGCTGCCAATCGTGAAGTTCTCAGCCCACTCAGCTTCTGCACACAGAGTGAGGGGCGGCCATCATTGGCTTCGGGTACCGCTGGGTCCCATGGTACCCTGGCAAGGTGGGCTGTCTGTTTAGGACTCCTGATCCCGCATATAAGGGGGTCCTTTTGCACACCTATCAGTGTTGTCATAACAGTATTCACTGGCATCCTGGTTTTTAAAGAAGATAGAGCTTTGTGGAGGTTCATCTGTCAGGCACTAATAGTTACAGTGGC